AAAATTTCCACGACTAATTTGTCGGACGACGTCTCATTAAACGTGGCCAATCGTCTGGTCAATCGAAATTCCAAAATAGGGGAAATTGTGGACAAATTAATTTTATGGATAATGTTGAACCCTTCTCTCTTCTCTCTCTCTCCTCCCCCACGCCGCTGACTTCCTCCTCTTTCCCCGCTGCCCTCCCTCACGTTGTTTCTGCCTTTGCTGCTGCTATTGACTTCTTCCACCAACTCCCACCAGCCATCATCACTCCCCCACGTTGCTGCTGCCTCTGCTTTGCTGCTGCTGCCATGCCTCTGTTCTGCTGACTTCCGCCTTTGCTTTGCTGACTTCCTCTCCATCGTGTTGCTGCTCTGCTGATTGCTTCTGCATGCTACCGCTGACTCCTCTGCACCCCCACGTCCCCTTGCTGCTGACCAACTCCTCCTTCTCTCTCCCTTTTCCTTTTCCTTTCTTTCTTCTTGGTCTTCTTCACTTCTGTTTCTGCTGGCTTTGCTGTTTCTGCTTCCGCTTGCCTCACTGCTTCTTGCTTCTTCTTGCTGCCACGCTGACCAGACCATTTCCTCGTCGGACCATCCACCGCCGTACACCACACCACCCCGTCACCCCAGCTCGTCCCCTGGCCGTGCAACGCCGCCCCCAGCAGCCCCGAAGTTTCCCGTCGCCGGCTGTTTTCCAGCCTCGTCTCTCGCCGTCCGCCTCACGTCACCGCCACTCGGCCATCACCACCACCCACGATCACCCTCACACCATCACCGACCACCTGAGCTGTCATCCGCCGTCTGCCCTCGCCGTTGCTTCGCCGGAATAGCCATTGCCGTGCCGAGGCTCTCTATTGCTCCCGTTGCTCGGTTTTCTTGCTTAGGCTAAGAGTAAGTGCTCCCTAAGCCTTGGTTAGGATAATGGGTTACTAATGGACATGTTTAGGGGTGGATTAGGGCTGTGGATAGTTGGTTTAGTGGCTGGTTGTGCTTGGTTTGCTTGGTGGTGCTTGTTGGTTGATTTCCGGTAAGGTTGCTGCTGCATCGCTGGATTTTGCTATTTTTACTGTGACTTGTGTGGGCCGAATTTGAGAAAGTGTTCTTCATGAAAGTTGTTCATAACATCTTGAAGTTTGACATATATTAAACCTGGAATTTTTGGAGATCATTGAGTGCCATTCGTAAGTCCATTTTTGGACCGAATTCAGTCTACCGGATTTACTGTTCACCCGCCTTCTGGTCTTTCCGATTTTCTATAAATTTTTCCAGACCTCTTTTCAATAAAATTCCTTCGCGAAAATTGTTAAGAACATTCGTTTCTATGATATATAAAAATTTCAAGGATTTCCAAAGTGATTTGGGTACTGGATGAGATGCATTTTGATGGTCAGGCGGCTGACCGGATGGGTTGAATTTCGTCTGACTTCAAGTGACAAAAAGAGGTGTTTAAAGTTGGAACTGGGTTCCGAGTTCTACACGGAAAATATTTATCAAGATGTTTTATACGACATATCCAAAATTTAGAATTTTTGAAGTTGATTTAGTATTTATTTCAAACGGATTTCGGTCACTGCACAACTGCCCAATTTGGCCCTGATTCTGTGCATACTCGGTTTTTCTCTCTCTCGGGGACTTTTCAGAGATTTTGTTACAAAAGAAAGGCAAGGCTTTTTAATTGATGAGTACAGACTTAGTTGGCATTTGGTTAATTCATAAAGATAAGAATCGGTAATGGTTGTTGAGTGTGTGCATGGTCACGACACGTTCCGTCTAGAGGGGGTTCTAGACGATGCCCGACGGGGGTTCGGATGCCGTCTAGGCAGGGGTTCTAGACGTTGCCGATCGCGGTGGAGGCCGGATCGATGCTCCTTTATGGAATGCCATCTGGGCGGGGGTTCCGGACGTTGCCGTCGCTGAAGTAGCGGGACGATGCCTGGTTACGCCAAAAGACCGGCGGGGGTTCGGTGGTCCAAGGGGCCATTAATAATCTGGACATTTATAATCATGTGTTACGCATTGGGGAATGCAATGTGCTTGTGTTGCTGTTGAGCATGTCTTGATTAATAACCGTTTTATGCACGTTTACGTCATGTGGTTGTATTATGTGCTCGAGCAGCGAATTGCCATGTTATGGCGGTATTCTAACGTGCAGGGCGTGTGCATGTGCCAAGGCGAGGTAAGGACGCCTGTGTTGTCTATGGCACGTTGTTTGTTAGAATTGCACGTTTAGGATTGTCTGGAGGTACGTGTTAGCCTAAGCGAAGCTTAGGTAGTTGTTTATTGAGATTTATTCTCATTGTTGAATTATAAACATTTCAGACCCACGACCATGACTGATCCGGAGATGCCACCAGGGTACCGTGATGATCTAAGGATGAGATTATTCTTCTCGTCTCTTTTTGGAGTACCCCTTTTGTAGAGGAGTTAAGCTTACCCACCACCCAATCCTTTTTGTTATGAGTGGTGTCTAGATGGTGGCCTCTAGTAAGGCTTGTAATTGCTTATTTGTGTTTAACGCTATGTTCATTAAATGTATTTGTTGATGTATTTCGATTGTCTCTCTATTATCCCGTTGGATTACATGTTGTATGGAGAGTTTGTATTTGCTTCCGCTTATGCTATTCGTAAGTGATTAAGTTTGGGTCGGCGACAAGTCCTGGGATGTCGCATACTTGACGACCTCGGAGGGATGTTGGTACGCTCGCGGGGTTCGGGGCGTGACAAAAATTGTATCAATTACTCAAAAGAATACATGAGAAGTACACTGACTTTCATGGCAAAAAAAATCGAAGCAGAGCAAATCCCATAATAGAACAAAAGAAAGCTAAATCCAAAAAACAAGGAGGATAAACAGAGCACCAGCAAGGTTAACCACATACTCATTCCATAAAAATGAATCTGTCAAGCAAAATAATCGGCGGTCGATCATTGGACCTCGTATCATCATCATCAGTGATGAGCACATGCTAGAAAGTCCTTTTCCAATGACTACTACGTTACCTGTTGGCAGTGCACGCTTAGGTTCAGCTTCCTCTACACCATCGCCGGACGGCGACAACCAAAACAGGTTGAAAAAAAACAGATCTAACTTTGGAAGAACAAATCTTCGTGATTCAGCGAAACGCCAAAGTTTTTATGATCATCAAAAAAACTGGAGGCATAGGATCTGTATACGGACAGTACACAGGGTTATCAAATCCCTGAAAACATTATTAAACTCTCAAAACTAAATCTGGAGAGAAAAGCTCATGGATTTAGAATTAAATCAGGAAAGTTTGAACTCTCTAATCTAGAATTAGATCAGGAGAAGAAAGCTCATAGATTTAAAAAACAAGAAAAGAATAAAAAGACTCAAACAAAATCAACAGGAGGGGAGGGTGAGACTAGCTCAAACCCTCCCTCATGATTGAAGCGTGAAGAAGACGATAGAGAGAGAAAAACTTTTCCGCTTCTAACGCGTGATGATCTTTATTCTATTGAATAAAGACATCTTGAATAAGTTTCTCCACAAAGGATAGGGTGTGGCAACTCTTGCCTCGATCACGGTCATTTTCCTTGCGGGACCCATTGGTGGGCTAACATGGGAGCCAAGATCAAGGATCCTAATTAATCTGGCTCCCTCGATACGGATCCAGGCTAAAAAATCCTCAGGAATAAATGTTGGGTCCATTTCTTTGTAATCCGTGGGTTGCTAGCTGGGGCTATGCAGCTTTTCTTGTTTTACTTGGGTAAACTCAAGCCAATGCATATTTGACAAATCCTGCATTAGAAGCCTGAGTTAACGATGTGAGGAATTTGTAGCCATATTGTCAGCATTTTGTTCTGATATAAGTCAAAGTCATTCCTGGATTCTCTGCAAGAGAATTTTTATTCCAGAAAGAATAAGAAATGTGCTATGCAAAGATGGCCACCCTATCTTAGACCAAGCATCAATCGATGAAACAAAATAGCAATTTATTTTTTGCCGAATAATCGAAAGTATCTCAAGAGAATATTTATGTTTTAGACAATGATTTCTGATCTTTGAAAGAATTCACTCTCTTGAGTTTAAGCAAAGATTTTCTATTTATTGTGATAAGATTTACTGTTGACTCATTTTCCAAACTCGGAAATGCAGGAAAATGTTTTCAGTTAGAATATTTTTCGCGATCAAACGGACCATAAGAAGTGATTCAAATATAAATGTTGAAAAGAGAATTAAAAACAGTCAATAATTTGTAAAAAAACAATGTGGAAGAAATCAAATTAAGTTATCATTGAGATACACAGCGTAGCTTCGTTTAGAACTTTAGATAGATAGATTTAGCTGAACTTGAAATTTTGCTTTTGCTAATAAAAAATTGATCAACTAGCCCTCTCAGATTTGAAGTTAAGTTCTTCTACAAGGATAGTAGGAAGGTGAAGGATGTGTTTAAGTTCAAAGAAAACTTAAAGAAGAGATCATTTCAAGTTTTCCTAACTAGACAAACATTCATTTATTTATTTTTTAAAATCTCCATGAATATAAGTGTTAAGATATCTAGAAAAATAAACTTTAAATGCTAATATAAAAGCAACTACATAAAAATGCAAAACCTTTTGCATTGGGCCCATCGACATTCCAGTTTTGTTGTTCCTGGACAGTGTCGCCCCTATTAGCGCCACGTGTATTTGCAATCTGATTTTGCAATTGTAAATGCCGATGCTCACAACATGATCTGGCGAGATGCTTTGAGAATGTCGTCAATTTGACAAATACTTTGAGAACTCGCTTGTCCTTTCTAAAATATCGGCCCTGATGATTTTGCAAAAATGAGAGGGTTGAGATTTCTCATCACGCCCGATGCGCATGACATCGCATAAATCTTACCAGAGTCCTATATAAAATGATCTAAGATGCTTTGAGTATGTCGTCAATTTGAGAACTCGCTCGTCCTTTCTGAAAACGTTAGGCTAAAGAGTCCTTCCTATAAAACTCAAAGTGGAGTTGTAATGATTGAGGCCTGAGGAGAGGAGAGGAGGGTCAAAGTGAACGAGACTTTCATTGATCAGGTGCTTTGAGAGAGTAAACTCTGAGGCGAAAATACTCGTGAGAATGGACATGGGAAAGAGCACAGAGGCTGGAAAGAGTGGCGGTGAGTCGTCGACAGCAATTGACTATGACGTCTTCTTGAGCTTCAGAGGGCCGGACACTCGCCAAGGATTCACGGATTGCCTTTACAACGATATGCTAGAGGCGAACATACATGTTTTCTTCGATGAGGAAGAGCTCCGCGTCGGTAAAGAAATAGGTGATGAGCTACCGACGGCCATCGAAAAGTCAAAGATCTACGTTCCCATCTTCTCCAAAGGTTATGCTTCGAGTCCATGGTGCCTTAACGAGCTCGCACACATGCTGGAGTGCAAGAAATCCAATCCCTCCGAAAAGGAGATTATGCCTGTTTTCTACGACGTGGAACCTTGCGATGTTAAGCTTAAGTCTCAACTATACATCAACGCTTTAGAGGAGCATGAGGAGAAATTCGGCCCCCGGACAAGGCAAAAGTGGGAGGATGCCCTCAAAAGTGTTGCCCAGATCAAAGGATGGGAGTTGAAAAAGCAGAGGTACGTAGGTGTCAAGTACTCCATAACTTTTGTTTTAGACTATCACTATGTACGCAAGCTTGGATAAGTTCCTGTTTAGACGATTTAAAATTGAATGAATACCTCGTGTGTTTTCAAAACCATTTCTTATAACAGAATTGACCATGTCATTCATCCAGTAACCGATACTAGCCGTGTTGATTGCGATCAGTTCCTGAGTGTCTTGAGATTATCTTTTACAATTTCTACTTAGATGATTCACCAATGACAGGCATTGGAAATTCATTAAATCGGTGACACGAGAGATTTTGATGAAGCTGAAGATAAAAGACAAATATGTCACCGAGCATTTAGTCGGAATGGATGATCGAGTGGAAGCTGTTGTAAAGTTGTTGGACGTGGACTCTGGGGGTATGCGGTTTGTGCTAATCCATGGAATGGGCGGAATTGGTAAAACAACTCTTGCTAAGATTGTCTACAACAAACTAAATTCCCTCTTTAGTCATTGCTGCTTCTTGGGAAATGTCCGGGAATCGTCGCGCCGCTTTGGCCTTGTAACTTTGCAAAAACAACTATTATCTAACATGTTTGGTTCTGGATTTCACGACGGAATCAATGACATTGACGATGGGATCAAGTTGATTGCACAACGACTTTCTAATAGGAAAGTCTTCATCATTGTCGATGATGTGGACGAGGAACAACTCGAGAAACTAGCCATCAAGCATGTTTCCTTCGGCTCTGGAAGCAGAGTTATTATGACAACTAGGAATAGAATCATCATAGAAGCTAGCCGGACTTTTGAGTATGAAGTGAAGCCATTGGATTCCATTCAATCGCTTGAGCTTTTCTATGGACATGCATTCGGAAAAAATCCTCCTCCAAATGATTATGTCAGTCTTTCGAGACAAGTAGTTTCTACTACCGGAGGACTTCCCTTGGCTCTCGAAGTCATAGGCTCATTACTTCGTTGCCAAAACAAAGGCTTTTGGATAGGTGTACTGCACAATCTGAGGGAAATAACTCATGAGAAGGTCCAAAACACGCTGAAGATCTGCTACAATGCCCTGAAGCATGAGCAAAAACAAATCTTTCTCGACATCGCATGTCTTTTTGTGGATGAAGACAAGACGAATGCATTCTACATGTGGAAAGATTGTGGGTTTGAGCCAGATTATTCAACTCAAGTCCTTGTTTGCATGTCCTTGATAAAGATAACTGACGACAATAAATTCTGCATGCACGAACAACTGAGAGATCTCGGGAGGAAAATTATCTGTGAAGATACAAGGTTGGTGGATCCAAGAAAGCAGAGCAGGTTGTGGGATCCTGAGACAGCGGTTAAAATCATTAGAACAGAAGAGGTGAAACGATATGCTCTACCATCGAATTCTACACTTTTCTCAATAGTTCATTTATTAATTAAGCACCCTTTTCTAATAGGGAGAGAGAGAGAGAGAGAGAGAGAGAGAATGAAGACATTTTTCATTTACTCTTATGCTACTTTACCATTGAACAACAGAGAAAGGAGGCCATTGAAGCAGTTTGCTTAGATGAAAATGCACCAGGAATCTATACAAGCGAAGAGTTTTCTAGGCTTCCAAACATAAGGTTCCTCAAATTACGTAGGGGACGCTTTGTTGGAGACTTTAAGAATCAGCTTTCAGAGTTGAGATACTTGTCCTGGAATAGGTGTCCTCATGAGCTCTTGGTCCTCAATTTCCATCCAAGCAATCTTGTTGTTCTCAACCTGTCTAATAGCTTCATCACGGAGGACTGGGCCGGATGGAGTCAAATCAAGGTATGATCTGTCGCTATTTATTTATTTGGATCTCAATTGATTGTCATGCGGAGTTTTTGTTTTTTTTTTGGGAACTCCTATAGACAATAAGCCATTGTAAATAAATGGGGTCATGAATGGAGTAATCAAGGCCTTTCACCAGTAAAACTAAGCTGGTCTTATAATCAAGGCCATTTACAATTAATTGCATATTATGGGAAGAAATTGAATTGATATATAGGTGGATCTGCGTGGACCAGGTTGGACAAGTGTTAGTACTAAAATGAATGGGTTTATTGGGGTTAAGGGAAAATGAGTCAACCCAATTACAACTCATTTCCAACACAACCATTCACTACCTCTAAATTCACATGGAATTTTCCCATTCATCTCTTTTAGATATTGTAACAGGTTGCTAAGAAGCTGAAAGTTCTGGATCTCACAAATTGCAACAACATGACTAGGACTCCAATCTTCTCCAATCATTTGAGTTTGGAGAGATTGATCGTAAAAAATTGCAGAAGACTGATTGAGGTTGATGGTTCCCTTGAAAAGCTCAATAGCCTGATTTACTTCAATGTTGATGGGTGTACAAGTCTTACGGAGTTGTGCGAAGGAATCGGACGGTTAGAGAAGCTTGAGTACTTGTATTTAGGCAATTGCAGAAAGTTGAGGAAGCTGCCTGAATCATTTGCGAGAGTGGCATCACTGGTAGAGTTGGATCTCTCATATACGGCTATCACAAGATTACCCGTCTCCATTGGTAACCAAAAGCGGTTGTCAGTACTTAAACTACATTCTACACAAATTGATGAACTACCTAGCTCTATTGGAGATCTACGGGAACTTAAGTCTCTCTCTCTATCACGTACAAAAATAAAGAAACTTCCCATCTCGATTGGGAATTTGGAATCGCTACTCGAGTTGGATATCTCAGGAACACGATGTCTACGGTTACCCGAATCTATCGGAGACCTAAGGAGATTGAAAGTCCTCAAAATTTCGAATTCCTGCATAAGTGAGTTACCGAGGAGTATTGTCACCCTAAAAGAGTTGGAAGAGCTACATGGCAGGGATTGCCCATCTCTGAAGTGGGAAGTTCCCGAGGGCATTTCAGGATTTTTGCTTTTTAGAGTCCTCGACTTGCAAGCAACCTGTATTAGAAATGTTCCGGCGACGATCCAACTACTTCCTTGCCTAGAGAAATTGAATTTATGGCGTTGCAGCAAACTTGAAGTATTGCCTAAGCTTCCCATAAGTTTGATAAGCCTAAGCTTCGGATCAAGTTCGTTGCAGTGGGTCCCGGATCTGTCAAACCTAACAAAATTGGTGGATTTGAGCTATGGTGGTCATGATGAGAACTATCATCCTTTGTTCTTCCAAGATGGGACATGCCAACAATCTCTCATGTTCCTTCCACCGTCTCTATCAATATTGTCACTCGAATATCATGAATCCATAACCAGTTTGTCATTTCATTGCGACTTGAGAAACTTGACACGTTTGCGCATTTATCAATGTTGTTGGAAGGAAGTTCAACTTGATGGGCTTGAACAGTTGATTGAATTCGAAGTGGAGGGGTCAAAACTCCTCGAGAGATTTGCTGGTCTTTCCAGGTTAAAGAGGTTGAAGCTGTGGAAGCTGATTGATTGCCCAAATCTAACTGTGATTCAAGGTCTTTGTTCGATGGAGTCATTGGAACAATTGGAAATAAAAGAATGTCCTAAGATTAAAAGTCTAGATGATCTATCAGATTTGAAAAAGCTGGAGTACTTGGTAATTCGAGGATGTGAAGAGCTTCCGGCGGTTAAGGGCTTGGATGAACTAGAGACTCTCAAAAGATTGGATTTTAATCGTTGCAGATCATTGGAAAGTTTTGCTAATGTATTCAGTTCGAGAATACCAGACAGGTGCTGTATAACCATTTTCAACTGCTCAAACTTAGTTGATCCTTCGTATGGAGGCCTAGTCAGCTCGTACAAGCAATGGAAAGTCCTGGAAATGTCCAACAGGGTTCGTAATCAGTCAAGCCAGAGAACTCAAACCCCTCGGAGAACGTTGATAGCGGATGATGCTGAGAGAGAAGACAGACGGGGAGAAGCAAAGAAGACAAAGCAAGGCAAATTTTTAGTGAGTGAAACCTTGAGGCAGAGGGGGCATTGTTCTTGTCTCCCCCGCTTCCCTCTCTCTCTTCTCTTTCCATCGTCTTCTTCAACCATCAGCCACGGGGGGAAGATTTGAGCTAGTCTCACCCTCCCTTCCCTCTCTTCTACATTTCGTTTGTGATTTTTTTTTGTTCTTTTCGTATTTCTTTTTCTCTTCTGATCTATATGTGGAAGCTCTCTTCTCCTGATTTAGTTCTAGATATGTGAGCTATCATATGGAGTTTAATAAATATACTTTCGGGGATTTGATGCCCCGGTGTTCGTTCGTGCACAAGTTCTCTGCCTCCAGCTTCAATGGTGATCACAAGAACTCTAGCGGCTCACTGCACCATGAAGATTTCCTCTCCCAAATATTAGATTTGTGTTCGAATCTAGGCGCGCACCGCCAACTGGTAATGCCATTGTCACGCCCCGAACCCCATCGAGCGCGCGGCATCCCTTCTGGTCAGCCGCCCAAAAATCCAAAAAATCAATAAAATTGGGAGAAAAAAAATATAACCGAAAATATTGGACCAGGAAGGTCGAATGCCATGTCGCGACGTCCCAGAAATCGTCGCCGACCCAAAGATTCCATCAGAGTAAATTCGCGGCGGAAACAAATCATATTATCCCGGACAATAATATTAGAGAACCAGGAAGAAGCAGACTATTAAACTACCAAATAGAATATTATACCTTGATATATAAATATACAACATCCAATTCTTTACAACCAAATACTTCCAACACTCCTTAGATTTACATCAACTGATAGTACACACCCGAACGGATTTCCTGATTACACCACCAATTATTCACATCAAACACTCACTAATTTAATATCAAACTTATAATACACGCACACCAACTGGCTTCTACGGATCGCGTCCTCGACCTCAAAAGGGATTTGCAGCCAAGGAATATTCTACTCCTGAATGCTCGGTGTGCATCGGGATCCCCAAAACGCTGCGGCGGTAGCGGCGGAAGGTTCAAGGCTCGGGCGGGTGCTCTGAAATGGTTTGGTTGAAACAACCATGAGACACTTCTCAATAAGTCACAACCTAAACCCTACCTAGGCTACCACGTATTCCAGACACATCCAGACACAACCAAGCAATAAACACAAACATCGTCATCCACACGATCATACTAACCTGGACTCTTGGCATAAACAGCCTGCACATTAGTCCGCAATCATAACAAACAATTCTCACACGCATCTCAACCACACGCACTATAAATCACTCACATTCTCAAGCCTACGTACACATCGAACACACCACATTTCCAATCCCACATTCCACACTCGGTCACGCACCAATCACATCATTTTCATTAACTTGCCATCGCGACCCGCGTAAACACGCCTCAGGCCCGATCTCACTTTCCTCGGCCTGCGTAAACATGCCTCAGGCCCACACGATCGCGCCCCGAGCATCACACGCCTCGGTCCGATCCCATTCCTCAGCCCGCGCCAAATGCAACAGGCCTACGTGATCGCGACCCGAGTTTTCGAACGTTTCGGCCCGATCCCATTCTCACCCGAGCTGATCATGCCCCGGGCCAATCTCATTTCCCATTTCCTCGATCCTCAGCCTGTGCCAAATGCGACAGGCCTACGTGATCGCGACCCGAGTTTATAATGCCTCGGCCCGATCCCATTCTCAAGCTCACACACATTCTCATTAAATTCCGTGCACACAATTGCACCCAATACATCACAACCACACCGTCATATCACGAAACACACGATCAACGCACAAACTGGCATTTTTCCACACCCAAGCATTATCAAATCAGTTCAGGCCCTTCACGGCATTTTCACAAAATCTCGAGCCGGACCTAACGGTACCAACCACACAACAAACAACACCCCACAGCACATAACACAACCCATCACAGCCATCAATCACCCTTTTTCGCCCTCAAAATCACCATATTTCACTCCCGGCTCTTCACGACGCTTTCACGAAATTCCGAACCGGACCTAACAGTACAAACCATATGTCCATCGGCACATCACAGCACATAGAACCGCACAGCACAGCCATCAATCTGTCATTTTCACACTTAAAATCACAATATTTCATTCCCGGCTCTTCACGGCACTTTCATAAAATTCCGAGCCGGACCTAATGGTACTAACCACGTACCGAACAGCCCGTCACAGCACACTAAACAGCTAATCACAGCCATCAATCGACCTCTAAAATTCCACCAAATCTTCCCGATTTCGCACCTAAGGCCCGCTAATCCAATTAATTCCTAATTTCCACCAAATCGCATCTAAACGGGCCCGAAATAACCCGATATACTAGGCGGGGTTTAGATCGCGACTTACCGAGCTCTAAACTAACACGGTTAGAGCGAAAGCGGCGGCAAAACCAAGATCTAACGGCGGCTTGCGGCGGCGGTGACGATCGGCGGTGATCGGGAGGAACGGCGGGCGACGGTGACTTGGGTGGCGGCCGGTGGGACTCACGGCCAAGAGAGGGAGACCGAGAGGGAGAGAGAGAATCACGGTGGGGTGAGGGTGGCGTGAGGCTCGGCGGACGGGCGGTGCGGCGGCGCGGCACGACGGCGGTCTGGACGGCGGCGCGGTGGCGACACGGCGGGAGGGGGAGCTCACGGTGGAAGGGGGAGAGAAGAGAGAGAGGGGGAGCCGTGGGGGAGGGGAAATGAGTGAGGAGAGAGAGAGAAATTTGACTTAAATAGTCAAATTTTGACCAACTTGACAAATTACCAAAATGCCCCTCTCTAATCTTTTCATCCGACGGTCCAGAGATTCGATCTTATCTTGAGATCGACGGCCCAGATCGAATCTTACCCAAAATATCCAAGGGCAATCTTATAATTTCTCAAAAAGTCCAAGGGCAAAATTGTCTTTTCCAAATTTTGGGGCAAAATTACCAAAATGCCCTTGCTCCATAAAACTAGCCCTTTAGAAATTTCCAAGGGTAAAATGGTCACTTTCTCCGTTTCTCATCAAAATGAATTTTTTCTGAAGGATTCGGGACATTCCAAAATTACACGTTCCAACCGCAACGTTGTCCTAATGTCCCGTTGTGACTTCCAAATTTTTCCGGTGTCCGATTTGGGCTAAATTAAATAATCAAATTTTATTAAACGCAACTCGAGCGTTTCTCAAACTAACGGGTGGCTTTTTGGGAAAATTCGTATAGTCGACCTGTGACTGATACTAAATCGAGTCACGTGCAAATTTATTCGGTTCGTGACGACCTCGGTTGTCATTAAAATCGCGAGGATCAATTACTAGATCCGAGGGGTACGATCGTTCGGTATAGGTTCAGGATCATTCATCAATTCATTTCGTGGTCCGGCGGTATCACCCGCGATCCACTACTCTGACAGTGGCGAGTTGACCCCTGGCTATCCTTGGATCGGCCAACAGTGGCTCAAAATATCACCTCGACGATTTCATGGTCGAAAGTCAATCCACGATTGAATTTTCTTTAGTCGTACGAATTTTAAATCCCTAGTTAGCCTTTCCCTAATGGTTAGTATCCCAGGAATGATCAGTTCCGGGTGAGAACTAACTACGAGCACTTTCATAAAACTCAGCATTTTATAAATCCCAAATGGACCAATTTTCAGGATGTCACAGCCATAATTACTGGGGAAGGAATTTCTGATGTGTACTCATCACCAACAATGATACGAGATCCAGTAATCGTCCACTGAATATTTCGCTCGACAAATCTGTTCATGTGGAACGAGCATGTGTTTAACCCTACTGGTATTCTATTGATCCTCATTGTTTTATGGATTTGGCTTCTGCTTCGATTTGATTTGCTATGAACTCTATATACTTTATATATATCTTTTGAATAATGAATACAGTTTTATTTCAAAAAAAAAATTCTTAAGGCGTAGCAGAAAAAAAAGGCAACTTTGGATCTGCCCATTTCTAGGGCCTTGACTGATCAGTTGCCATTAGGTTTATTCCTTACTATTGATAACTATTATTCAATCTATATCACTCATCCAAATAAAACTTTCAAGAATTTTCAGCTTCCTAAAATTTCTTCTCGTGGCATTTAGGCGAAGAAACGACTGATTAAAAGAATGGTCGTACAGGGATGATTTTCACTACCTATTGCTCGGGAAGTGGCTCTCTAATTAGACAACTGTAATTTGTGAATCCGTGTGTATTGGCATGTTGGATCATGGCGTGCATCCTAATTTGGTGTGTTGTCCTTCCTTGCAGTTTGCACTCCACACATTTTAGGTGGACCAAGTCGGGTCAATCAATGACGGTATTTGTTGGCATTCTCATTCTATATTTTATCTTAGATTGCTTCGCATGTTTTTGTCGTTATTGTTAGAGTGTGATTCATACTCCCCAACAACAGGATAGCATGGGGCTCCCTGAAAGTGTGAGGCTTTTTTTATTTTAAATTAGTGATTTTATTAGAAGTTTGGGTTTGGGCCCATAACTAGCTACTGTATTTATTTGTATTCTCTTTTTCTTGTAATTGAGGGATATAACAAAGAGGTGCAAGGTGCTAATTATAGTAGATTCCTTAGCTAGACGTAGCCCTAATTTAAGGATGAATCAAAATAAAATCTTGTGTCTCAAATTCTCTTTCTCGTTTTTAATTTTTATTTTCTTTGTAATTGTGTAGCGAACATTTATTATTAAAGCTTCCATAGTGCTTACAATAATCTTTTCACTGCTTAGGAAGGCGTGTACAATTTTTTTTTTTCATATCCATAGTATTTTTTTGTTTTTAATTTTTTTGTTTGAATCCATATAATTGGCCAAATTCTTTGAAAAGGCTAATATTTGAAATCCAATTGATGAGATTTTTTTTCAGTGAGGAGAGAGAAGGAAATATCACTGCATTATATCTTCCCCTTATAACATGTCCACATAATATTTGCTTAATATTGATCTTGTTGGCTAATGTAAGATTGGTGAATGTTATATTTAACACCTTTTTCACGTTGAATTTATACATTCAATTTATGTGGTAGTCATCGAATGTAGGAGTCAATTCTTGTTTAGAATTAATTGACTTTTGATTTATATCTCCGCTTTTTTTTTTCTAAGGAGTATCTTCACTTGTGGTATGT